AGAGTTATGGAAGAACCTCAGAAACTGAAGAGGCTCCTCTGGGCAATGGTCACAGCACAGACTGCTGGCGGTCAAGCAGCATTTGGGCAAAACTCTCAGACACAGGGTTTGAATTTTGGGTAGTGCTGTGCAGAGCCAGGAGTTGGATTTGATGATCCTCGTGGGTCCCTTTCAAATCGGGATATTCTGTGACTCCATGATTCTATGAAATTCTACAAGTTATTTGAATGCCATTAAGAGTTCCACCAATAGGTCATAACCCTGAGAGGGTATCTCCAAGTGGGATCAGTAATTTCATTTATTTCATTTCCACGAAAATGACACATGAACCAAGGGGAAATGGCGAGAAGAGCTCCTGCTCTTGAGGTTGCCTGTGACCCCTTCCTGTCTGCTCCCTGGGGCCAAGAGGTGTCCGCCAGCTACTTTGGGAGGAGCTGCTCTGCTCCATGCTCTGACCTGTCCTTTGCTGTGCTGCCAGTTATGTGATGAAAACTGCCAGCAGATACATAGGGGCAGAGGGAAACAGCCTATTCCCAAGGCCTATTCTCAAAAAAGCAGATAAATTCAAAACAGCAATTTTTAAGTACAGTGAATTACTACTTCTAGCATTACTAAGAAAAATACATAGAGAAAGAATGGTGATTTTCAAGCTGAATCTATTCTTTGAAATACTCTTATATGTTCTTATAATTCCACAGTAATACTTAAAGCTTTAAGTGTAATATCTTATGCCAGTGTTAACATCTCCGTATCTACAGCACTGCAGATACAGAGAACTTCCAAGCACAGGATTTCTCTCAAACTCAGTTCAGGAGCCCCTCCATTTTTCTATGAATTTATGCTGCACCACTGCCTTGAGATATTTGATACAGAATAGTGATAATGCTTTGCTTTTCTTCTTTACAGGCCATACTCCATCTCCTTAAAAATATTACTGGGAAGTAACAGGGCTGGAAAGCAGAAGGTCCAGCCAAAGCTTGCCTGTGAGTACATGGCAAAGCTCAGACTGGAAGACAGATGTACTCAATCCTTCTCTCATTTGAGAAGCAGCAGCTCAGGTCGACGCTGCTCTGAACTTTGGAGATGATCTGCCTGCTAAGCTATAGCACATTTATGATTTGTGGGTTTCTAGTCTGACTTGGCTTCATTTTTTAACTTTTCATTTTCTTTTTAGGCACCCAAACTGCTCACTGGGTTTGGCAGCTGATGGCTATTAACTGTTACACTCCAATAACCTGGGGATAGTTAGAAGAGCATTAAATATTTGCACTGTGCAGCAAGGCTATACTTCATCTCAGTACACACGAATCCCATGCTCTTTTCACACTGGAAGAAAACCCACCTTATTGCTATTCAAATCTATCTGTCTGTCTCTTCCTATGCTGTCATTATGCATGCAAGGCCTGTCAGTGCCACTGACACAAAAAAAGCTCTCCCTTTATGCCAACACCAGTGACACCTGAAAAAAACACCCACAACCAAGACACAGGAGAATTACTACTTTTTACATTTTTGTTTATTTGGCCCTCATTTTCTAATAGAGTACCTTATAACATCCCTTCATAAAGGTATTTCTCCCACCCTGCAAGGGTGAGCTCTTCCTTAGGTTATAGATAAATGAAAGTATGTTTTGATAACTGAAGTTTATCCCTGGTTAAACTGTGAAGCTTTGTTCTGAACACCATTTATTCCCCCCAACATCTTAACTGCCATTTTTAGTCTAATCTTTTAGGAAATATCCTACGTAGGCACTCCTTGTGGTCTGCTTTTAAAAAGCAAAATTTATTTTGGCCTCTGCAGGAAGCATTTAAAGTGCATAATGAATAATGTTTGACACAGGAGTCAGTTAGCAGTCATTTTAGATTAACAACACTGCTCAGAAAAAACCTTGCAGGGGATTAGAGCGAGGGAAAGATGCTTAGGCAATAACCTCTGAGCCAGTTGGTTGCTGAACTATTCACAATAGACATAACTATCTCAGAAGGTCTTAAGTGTGAGAATTATCTGCAGGAAAAGAACAATGAGTTAGTGAGATATAAAACAATAGGCTCACGCTCTAATACAAGCAGTTAGCACTGCAAACCTTCACTTCTCATTTAAGCTGCAAGACTTTCAGACAGTAGCAGTTGGTGCCCAAATTAAGACTTCCCCTCTCCCTTTGATCTTATGCTAAAACTAATGAATTGTATAATCTCCAACACCTCTGAAATCCCGCTGGTTAGAGTGAAACTATCCCTACCTTTCCCATGCCTGTCTCGATTCACTAAATGGGAGCTATATTTAACAACAGGCCAATCACATGATCACTGAAAAGGAACAGCAGAAGGATCTGTAATCCTAATGCTCTGGAGCTGTGATTGCTATAAATCCTTCGCAGAATGATTTCCTTTAAATCCCAAACATGTCATTGCACTTTTAATTAACATTTCTTTATGAAAACTGTGGATAAGAACCTTTAAATTAAAGATTGTTCCCAGACTTGTCATCTTAAAACAGTGTGCATTTCTATTGTCATTTTCATGTGGCACATTTGACAGCAAAGCTTTTGTCCTTTCCTTTTTCTCCTTTTCCTTCCCTGTCTTAGCCCTCAAACAAGCACTAGCAGCCAGCGCTATTTTAAGGGTAAACAAATAGACATTTGTTTACCAAGGGGAAAACTAAAAGATCAGCAGTGAGTACAGGCTGAGATGTGGCTCATACTGCCATATTTGAATTCTTACCACCTTCATCCTGAGTTTGCCATCTTTCTGAGCTTACCATCTTCTTTGCAGAGAGAGATTCAGAGGGGAAAGAGACCTGCCCAAAAGAACAAGTGAGTCACTTGTAGAAATGGAAACGTTACCTTTATTTCCTGATTCTCAGCTTTTCTTCCCAGTTCTTTAGCATGTTGCTTTGTTGTTATTAATACTTTTTAGCATTAATAACTTACCCATTGATCTCAGCAGCATTGCTGTCCACTTCACATGGTACGAAAGCTAGCCTGAAATACATGATGGGAAGCATAGGAGATGCAGTCTTATTTCCAGCAAAATGGAAGAGTTTTATCTGAGTGAGGGTAAAATGCTTCGTTCAGTGCTGGTGGGAAATGAGTTTCCCATCTGAAAGTATCCCTGCTCACTCAGAACTCTGGGTATGAATGATGGCTCAAGCTCAGTGACAGACTCACTTCAGTTCCCTCATCTGAGACTTGAGACGGGGATGTTTCATTTGCAGACATTTCTTTCAATGACATGTTTTTCAGGAAACCCAGTTTTCTAACATGCCTCTGTGTGGAAGAAGTCAGTAGAGGACAAAAGAAAAACTATGTGAAAGAGAAGATTAAAGATGACACTATTATCCATTATATATACACACACCAAAAAAAAGCTTGCCTCAGTGAGAAGCAGGAGAGAAGTACTAATCCTGAAAAGAATTCTCAATGAAATCACCAGGCAATTTGACAGCACAAGTAGAAGTTATTTAGCTTGATTTGGCAATGCATTTCTAAATATCCATTTAGCATCCAAGAATATCCATTGACAGATATTGGAGAAATAATGAATGGCTAAATAGAGCAGGTCAGATTCTGATGCCCTTCCACAAAATGGGTGGTAGTTTATTCCTCAGCTGCTCCCACTGGCTTCAAATTATGCTCTGCAGCTGACACTTGGAGCCAAATGTCAGGAGTCCAGGCTCACCAAGCACGTCAGTGGAAAAGCTCACAACAGAACCTCTAACTTGGTTCTCTTGCATCCTGACTTGAAAAGAAGCAGCAGCCTAGATAAAGAAAAAAAAAAACCACCCCACATCCTATTTGACAATTCCCTTCCTTTATATATCCTCCCTTCCTCTAAAGTAGATACGTTGTTTTTTAATTTCTTTGTCATGGCAAAGAACATCTACATGTTTAAATTCTGTTTGAAACAAGTCATAAGTATCTGGCCAGGACATGGATAAATTTGTTACAAAACGAGTGGAATGTGTCACAGATACAGGGCAAAGGGAACAGCAGATTTAACCACTAGATTATTTTTCTTTCTTTACTGACAGCCAAACTCATACAGTAAGCATGGTGTGCTATATGTGACCGTGCATTAAAAGCAGACTGCAAAACATCCTTCCTCAGCCCATCACCTTTTCTTCACTAAAATACATTGCACGGATATATCAATTTAAAGAACTAAAAATTAGCAATGAGATAGTAAAAGCACAATTGTTCCAATAAACTCATAAAGCCTGAAGACAACACATACTGTAGCCCTTCTCAGTTTTGTTTGCTGTTCCACTTCACAACAGTATATTAATTCCTCTCCCTCTCTCCTATGCTAGAATGTGAGAAATGTAAAACTCAAAGCTATCTGAGAGCAGCACCGAGGAGCAAACAGCTAAGTCTTATTTGCACAAAGCTGTTCCTGAGTAGTTCCACAGATGGATAACACCTGTACATGCAACCCTTTTCAGCTGGAAGCTGTGACCCAAGCCCTTGAAGAACAGCCCATTCTTCAGATGCAGCGATCTGCATTTGCAATGTGGAGTTCCATGGCCCTATGAGGACTTTCAGAGGTGGCTGGTTTGAAGCTCTTTGATGCACTTGCAGGAACCCCCTCAGGTGACCTCTGGGAAGACAGAGCCTATTCTCCCATGTATAAAACCAGAGACTGGGACAAAGAAAAAAGGCAATCAGGACCATAGTCTCAATGTCTCCCCGTGCTCTTTGCGGTACATCAACACTGTAACAAATAGTTCTTGTGTATTCCTTGTTCAGTGCTCTGTAGTAAAATGTGAAACCTGACTGCAGTGACTTATCATTCTACAACAAATCCTAGCCATCAATTTTTCATCTTCTCTGTGGTATGAACACTACAGTGATGTTCTTTCCTTACTTAGTGCAGAGCTCACTCTTGAACATCCACATGGATGCAGAAAGCCATGGCTGAAAAGCAGAGATCTAACACACACTGTGGGTTAGGCGCCTGTTTCCTGCTCTCGTTTCAGTAAGACAGTTGAGGAATGACACATATACAACAGTACAAAGCTGAGAGTTACTGTACGACAATTTTTTATTTATCAGTATCAAATTACATAGCAAAGTAATGAATGCAGTGTCAGATCACCTCTTTGAATACTGTAAATACAAACAAAATCCACCATATTGATAATTACCCAAAGTAAATTAAAAGTTTAAAAATGTGCGTTTCAGAGATTCCATTTGGCATGTCCTGTCAATATATCCTGCATAAATATTTCTGTACCTCATTTTCACTACGTGTACCTTAATTAAATACAGCCTTTAAAAAGCTCACACTGAGGAGATAGGATCTAGCCATACGTTATGTTCATCATCAGCTCGTGCCTCTGCCCTGAAATCCCTGAAAGTACCTATCTGCATGCTCACCTGGCAGCCCGGCGTGAGGTCAGGGCACAGTGACCACAGAGCACCAGACCCACAGTCACTGACATCAGCATGATCACGCCCTTAAGTTCTGACAGATAGCTATTTGCTTCCACGGTGGCTGGGCTGGATGTGATGGCCAGATCTTGTACACTCAGACATTGAAGGAAATTCTCGGAATGCTCACACTGCTCTTAACGCTACTGTGACTCCACTATACAGAAAGAACTATTCCTGGTTTATACGGTTATGTCACAAATACAGTCAGGTCTGTTCATTTCAAGTAAGTTGAGTAGGACACAGATAAAACCAGATAATTCATTATTTTACTGTGTTAGTCAGCAGTGTCAATTACACAGGACTTCATTTTAAACTGTGTCAATAGAACAATTTTTCCAGGCGGATACAAGAATAAGCTTCACTTAGCACAGTTTCCAAAAGTTAAGACTAGTGAGACATGGTAGTGGCACAGAAAGGAAAACATCATAGAAATATATATTTCATTTAAAATGAAATGAACAGAAGTACAGAACCGTTGATGCAGGTAATTGGAAAGGTGAGGACAAGGAAGGAGGAAAAATTTAGGCAGCGATCCCACGGCAATATGAGAGTTACTCTTGATCCCTCCAGTTCACCGGTATCAGTGGAAGTCAGGCTTCTCTGGGAAGGTGCAACCTGAGCGCTTGATAATGACGCTGGCTGCATAGTGTCCAGCTCGGATGCACTCGGTCACCGGCCGGTCATAGACAAGCTGCGAGAGGAAGCCTATGAATAAAGAGGGACAGAGAAAAAAGGGAGAGAATGGTTAGGTTTTGAAGTGTACCAGCTTGTCATGGAGCAGGGCACTCAGACAGTGGCCTGACTGTATGTACCTGGGTACATATAGCGCTGTGCTTAAGTGAGCTGAGGAGTTAGGTGCTGCTGCTGTCATTTCTACCTGAAGTCTCCAGCTGGTAGCTTCAAGTAAATCAATGATCATCAAGACTGATCTTTTTAGACACCTGAAGAGGATTTACTAGAGTTCTTGCTCTTTTCCAGAGAGAATCCTGATTCCTCAAATATAATTTCAAAAACACAGCAGCAGTTTTCCCTGCTGAAGAGAGCTCCTTCTGTTCCTGCCGGCTTCAGCTCCAGCCCTACATCACTGTCACTGGTGCAGGCTTTTCTCAAAAGAAGGGAAAAGCACATAACAAACATTATCTCTATTCACAGTTAAAGGGGTTCATAGTGAAGACAGAGAACATTTTACCTGTCAAAGAAAATTAGATGTCATCTGTTGCCCCTGGTCTCAGGAAATTTAACCCAAGGCTTCCAAAGGAGTGGACACCTCTTGCCACGTTGAGATACACAAACCAACAGCGAACCACAAAAAGCCAAGCACCTCTCACAATCACAGCCCTTAGTTAACTGCTTTACTCAACAAAACCCCCAGTATCCATGGTTTAGAAAACCAGAAATCACTGCTGTTTTGAATGCCAGAGTACATCTTCAACTGAATATAAGCAAATAGAGTATTAAAAAGAAGATTATTCATAGGTACTTGGAAAAGTTAAGTACAAGTCACACCAGAAGTTTTATGGATTGAGTCCTTTATCTCTGAAACATTTTGTCTTGGCCACAACTTTTGTGATCAAAAGCATGACTGAACTTATGGCAGAGGTGAAATGTATTTTTAAAATATAGGTTTTCAAGATGTGAAAAGTAAACTCAGTTTCTTATTATTTAAAGCTCCACTCTGTCATTCTAGAGGTAATATTTTATTCACTTTTATCCTGTTTTTTAATATCTTTCAGATGTCTCCCCCTTCTCCATCCAATCACTGAAGGAAAGCGAGATTTGCGTAGGAAAATCTGAGCTGAAACATGTTCCTTTTAAAGCTTTCATCCACCATTTCAAGTTCCTGTGTCATGCTCTGTGCAGGTCCTTCACAGTCCAAATCTAGCCTTGAAACTATGTAGCTCATAAGGACCAATTTTTGACATGATGGCTTTTCATTCAAAGCTATGTTTTACCAGCTTTCTTTCCATAGTGTCAAGTACACTTCCTCTGCTCACCTCAGTTACTGCTGGAATAAAGACTCTACATTAAACTGTGATGCCCTCCTTTAACCCATGCTCCTTTTCTAAATATTTCCTTCAGAGTGGAACATTAGGGCATATTTTGAGAATATGATAAAAATAAACTATCCAATGCCATAACGTTGGTTCCTTGAAGATAAAAAATCATGCAAATCATGAAAAATAATGTTACAGATTGATCAGGGCTAAACCTGCTGAGCAACAGGTCATTTTTATGGATTACCATGTTCTTCCATGTCTGATGGTAAAAAGAAGCCAAGCTGATAACACAGTTTTCTCTAAACTGCATTGAAAGAGAGAAGAGGCTGGAGCTTTGCTTAAAACTGCTGAACCCATAAATCAAGTACTTTTTATTTGAATGGGAGAAAGCATAGAAAATAGGTGTTTTAGGTGACAACTAGGAAAAAAAATGTACTTTTCTGACATCGATATTTTTTCCAGAGAAACCTGAACTACACATAAGATGGAATTTCACAGATATTGACCGACATTAACTGGAGAAATATGACTGCTTTGCCAACAAATGTTAAGTCCGTAAACACAAGTGGAGAAGACAGCATTATTTCAGTATACAAAGATGAGAATCTGAAATAGGAAGAAACTGTGCTGTGAGTGCTATCACTGGCGGCAGTCAGGGGATGACAGACAACACAACTGTGGCAGGATGGTCCAGCTGTAATAGTTGGGTAACAGTTGAGAAATTCAAACAGCATGCCTGGCAGAAATCAGGACATTTCTGAATAACGAGATGGAAATGGTCTGCTCTCCATTAAATTAACATGCATTCTTAGAGAAAACTTTCTTGGATGCGCAGAGAATGTCAATCATTACATTTAAACTGCCTGGGAGGCAGTAGCTTGCCAGTGTGCTTCTGGGTGGTTAAAACTTCAGAGCAAGTTGTAACCGTATGTAAAATAAGGCTGTTAAGACAGTCCGTTTCTGACTCAGTAAGTACAGAAGACGCACTGGGCAGGCCTCCAAAGGCAAACACGCAGCTAGGCTTTGTGCAGAGCATGAGTTCAGAGAGCGGTTTACACACAGCTGTCCTCTGTGCTTATAATCAAGGTATCAAACATACATGAAGATGAGGAAATACCAAGGAGCAAAGGACCGTAAAACATGAATTACTTTTCAATATCAAATAGACTGAGACTGGCACCACCTCCCAGGTTCACAGTAGTTTCAAGCTAGTATAAATTTTTTGTCTTCAATGAAGCTACTTATTTATTCTGACCACGAGAAAGAATCAGGTGGAAAAAAATTCTGTTCTAATTGGGGATAGAAATGAGAGATCTCTGTGATTTCAGAGTGGCAGAGAAATGACATTAAGTGCAGCTGTCATATATGAGGTATGTAGAAACTGCAGTGGGGAGTTTGCCCTCAAACCATTCTCTTGTCTGTTGAGTTTCTCTTAAAAGGAACGTACGTTATAGATGAAATAGAAAAAGCAGTATCTGACACGATATCGCGTCGAATGACAATACAAACACACATACCACAAAAACAGTTCTACATCACATACTAAGAGTAGGCAGTTGGCAAAGCAGACCCCGAGGGAGCACCCAAAAGCACTGTTGTTTGAGTAGAGAAACAAAGAGCTCTATCGGGTTGGCTGTTTCAGCTGAAGAATGCTCTTTTTAGTCAAAAGCAACACGGTCAGAATGTAATTTATAGTTTCTCTCCTCCAGAGTATAAGGTACTCTGATGCAAACCCCCTGAGTCATAGTCTCAAGGCATGGATTCAGGTCTCCTAGTTCAGTAGTGCCCCATCTGTTTTTCACCACCCTTCTGTGCTGCTAAGTGTATCCTGGCGCTCTGTCCAAATGAGCCAGATCAGTCTGAACTGGTTAACAGGTCTCTGCTAACCTGGCTGATTTGAACTGAAACACCGAAGCAGCTCTACCAGCAAGCAGGGCAGCGGAGGAAAGATAATAGGTGGTTGAGGGCTGTAATAACTTCAAGGAGATGTGCCTGGAAATGCAGGAAGATAAGTGAACATGGCTACAGACTTACTGCACTCTCTTACAGGCAGAAAAGGCAGCAATGATTTTGCACCATGGGTCTCACAGAACTACATCATCTTATATCACAGTAGCTCAGCAACTATTTTAATTTATGTCATGGCCAGAACTAGTTCCCAGCTATCACCAGAATGGAGTGCAAAAAGTAGTAATATACTTTGGCTACACAAGGCCTCACTTCAAATACTTTACCAAGGTAATTTCAGGAGATACTGTCGACCATCTTCCAATTGCAGCTGTTCTGCACCAGCATTTCCACACTGCTGAGGCTGTTCACAGTATTACATGCATTATATACTGCACTCTTCACACCACAACACAAAGACAGGAACCAAACTCAAGAGTTTCCCACTTACCTGCCTCCTGCCCAGACATCCAAAGTGTTTATGGAGTAAGAGACATGGCAGCTGCAGGACGCCTTGCAGACCTCCACACTGCAATTAGCCATACTGGAAGGTCTTGGAGCAGGCCAAGATGCCTTTTGGCTCCCACAGACACGGACGGCCAAGTAACCACTTTGTACCTATACCCAGTAAGAACTTCTGAGGAACTGTGTCTAGTCCATTCCATGAAATACATTTCTTCTTAGAAAGCCAAGTCACCTTCAAAAGCTGCTGTAAACCTTACAGTGCTACAAAACCTTAAAACAAAATGTATTCACATTCCCAGATGATACACGTGATTGCAAGACACCAATAGCTATTATTGGCCCATAATTATTTATTTTCTTTTCAATAGAGAAAGGCATCTCCAAAATCACTTTCCTCTGAAAAGAGTGCCTGAAATAATTGAGAGTTAATCTTTATTATCTGCAGCATCTTTGTTACATATGCTCAAAGACAATGTTTATAATGTTAGGTCTGCAAACAGAATGGAGATCAGAAAAGTCGAGTTGTTTTCTTCCTTTCTGTGCTCACCACCAAATTAACATTTCTGCAAGCCAAGTGCCAGAAGTGGTGCTTGAGCCTCAGAACCCACACCCGAAAGAAGGCCCTTGCCGAAACGAGCTCAAATCTCTTTGGCCATGTCAATACAATTCTGAAAAGACACAGTGAAACAGTGCACCCACTGACACAAAAGGTGCTGTCCTTACTTTGTAACTTTTTAGAGAGGAGCAGCACTTTAAAATCATTAATGAAGAAACAAGTTCATTTCCTTGCGGCCAGCAAAGTAGGCATTTCAGGGGCAATTTCACTGAAATGTGATTTCTCTGCAAGTTTTGTTTCCTGAATATAGGCGGTAACTCTGAACGAACGCCTAGTGCTAGGGCAGTTGGATGGAAATGTAGGAGTCCAATAGCTGTTTTTTTTAAAACAGTTCTGGTCTGCTTCAGAAATGGTTTAACAACACTTAAAAACAGATCATATTGAAGCCAAATGTTTCATTTCAAATTGTACAACTTGACAATTAATTTTAATGACTGTTAATTACTAATACTGGCTGGAAATCCATTTATAGCCTCTGACATTCAGATTCCCCACTATTAGTCTTTCTGCAGTCTCTTTCACAATTCCAAACTTCATAAAACGCTCAAGGAAAATAGTAACGTAATTCTATACAAGAGAAAAAAAGCAGGAAAAATGCAATGATCAAATGTATTAATTATAAACAATCACAACCTGACCCTAAGTTAGAGGTCATCAAAGAATGTTTGCTACAGGATGTT